ACACACACACACACACACACACACATGTATGTATATATCTGTATATAAAATAAGTGTATCTATGATGGCAGGCAGGTCACTTTTATAAGTGTCTTTGGAAAAGAGCATCTGCTAAGTGTCTTAAATGTAAAACATGAGCTGTTTCATAATCATATCGTTTACATGTTATGATTTACTATGATTTTGTACAGGTCAGCTGGAGATTCAGAAACCAGAATGTCCAGCACTGTCATACCCGTGAACTCTTCAACGCTTGTCATCCAGTTTCAACCGCCAACACAATCAACACCTGTTACGACAAATGCTCCGGTGCCTGTTTATGTACAACAGGTGGCGGGAGTTTCACCTCTTCATGGACTTCAGGCGTTTCTGAAAGGCCAGCCGAAAGCCCTTGGGGTGAGAAATGTCTCATAAACCCAAATAATTGGTTTTTATTTGTGCATGTCAGTGCGAGGGAAGAAATGTACATGAATACATTCTAAACGAGGAATTTACGCAATTTTTGTTGAAGAATGTGTAAATGATAAACCTGATCTTATATTGGTCAGAGTAAAACAGTTTGCAACTCCTAAAACATTGTTCTCTGTGACTGAAACACTGTAAAGTTTACTATCAAAAAATGTAAAGTAATCCAATCTTACACATCCGCAAATACAATGACCACACCTGCAGAATATTTTTTGTGATATTTTTCTAGTACAGTCGTAAGTCCATAACTACAGCTGGCATAAATGTTTATTGTATATATTATAGCGTTTCCCTTCATGGAAGACTATCTTGTCCTTCTCACACTTTCTGCATTCTTTTTGTCCCTCACAGACGGTCCAGATAATGATCGGTGTGCTGACTCTTCTGTTTGGCATTGTGTCTTCAGTTCATGCAGATCTTATCTTTGTCTATAGTGGTCTTCCTTACTGGGGATCTGTCATCGTAAGAAACAATTATACAACTAAGTGTTCTGTCTTTTATAAAACCAGCTACACATTACAATGCATGCCTAATTTTTTGTCTTTCTCTCTCTTGTCAGTACATAACTGCAGGCTCACTCTGCATTGCTGCCGAAAATAAAATGAATTCACCCTCCAGTTTGTGTTTGGTGGGTACACAGCAGTTATTACTGTTAAGCGTCTAAGCACCGTGCTGGAAGTACCAAAATAGTCTTCTGTTGTGTTTGTACTGATTTCTTCTTCTCCTATTTTTTTCTGCCCTAAAAGTATTTGGGCATCAGTGACCATAATTCATAGAGACCCCAAACTTATCAAGAAGGTCCTAAACATGCACATCTATTCAGGCACACAGATACATAAAACCAGGTGGCGCCATAATAATATGATTTGTATTTTTGATAACTTCTAGAAACAATTAATTTTTTCCCCGTGAATAAGTCTTATACAAAAACGTACCGTGAGACATCAGATCCGCCGCTCCGGTTGGAGACACAGATGTGATTATAAACGAATTCAAACAAAAATGAAACCATGTTTACCTCACGAACAATCAAATATCCTGCGACTGGCTCTTCCTCAGATATGCGCGTTGTTCTCGGGTACTTC